CTGTCATTTCTTTAGCAAATCTATCTGCCTGCTTGTCTGAGAAGTCATCATATTTATGAGGTGACACGCTTTTCTTAGATTTAATTCTATGCTAAGAGAAAATAGAAAGTGAAAACTTTGCCTTTTGAAATACACTGGTATTCAGTTGTGTTTTCTCCCTCATAATTACATTCTTTATTTATGTGTCTAAGATGAAAAAAATACAAGAAAATACTTGTTTAAAAGGAACAAAAATTTGAAATATAACAAGTATTTTTCTGCAAAGATTTACACTGAGTAAGCATAAAAAAATTAGAGTGATTAAGATGTTACAATAGACTAAAATATGCCAATAGTTCCAAAGTTAGAGAAACAAAGACAAATTTTCTGTCATAGAGTTTATTCTTACTCATAGCATCCCTACAGAGCAGGTTAAAAGTATCTCGTGGGATTCCGATGTTGTAAGTCTTTAAGGGAGCAAGCACTAAACCTCATCTTTCTCCAAAGGAGCATCTGGTTTGTTTTAACCTACAACATTGTATTAATACCCCATCTTGTAACCCACTATGCTATCGGGTATCCTCTTCAAATTGGCAAAGGACCAGAAAATGTAATGCTCTCTTATACATAATATTTCCATGAATAAGAGGCAACACAGTAGCAAGTAACAACTTGGAAGAAATGGACAAATTCTTGGAAAAACTATCCCTCCCTAGATTATCCCTAATGTCCGTCAAGAACCTCAACAGACCCATATCAATAGAAGAAATAGAGAAGGTTATCAAGGTATTATCAACAAAAAATCCCCTGGACCAGATGGGTTTACAGCACTCAAGGAAGAACTGACACCAATCCTACACAAACTCTTCCAGAGCATAAAAAAAGATGGCAAACTCCCAAATTCCTTCTGTAAAGCTGGTAAAGCTCTGATACCTAAACCAGGCAAGGATCCCACAAGAATTGAGAACTACAGACAAATTTCCCTAATGAATATCAGTGCAAAAATCCTTAACAAAATACTAGCCAACAGAATACAAAAGTATATAAGACCATTAATTCACCATGACCAAGCGGGGATTCATACCAGGGATGTAGGAATGGTTCAACATATCAAAGACCATTAGTTTTATTTGTCACATTGAAAATAAAAAGTAAAGGAGCCCCATGATAATATTGATAGATGAGGCAAAAGCATTTGACAACTTCCAACAGTAATTCATGTTTAAACCACTCAAGAATATAGGAATGGAAGGAAAGTTCCTCAATATATAATACAAGCTATATATGAAAAACCAACAGCCAATGTGATATTCAATGGAGAAAAGATGAGATTAATTCTTCTGAAAAAGGTGACTAGACAAGGATGTCCCTTGCTGCCACTCCTATTTAACATTGTACTTGAGATTCTAGCAAACAATATAAAGTGAAGAAAGGACATCAAAGGTATTTGTCTGAGGAAGGAAGAAGTGAAGCTACATGAGTCTGCTGAGGTAGCTCAAAAAATTCAAAAGGGGCACATGGAAAAAGCTACTGTAAAAATACGTCCCTAGGGTGAGGTCCAGGTGATATGGAAGGGGCCAGAATAAACTCAGGGATACATATGGGATACATATGGTCGCCCACTAAAAAGGAGGGGAGAAAAAAAGACATGGGTAGCAAGGGGTACACGGCACTAACCCACACAGGGGGAGGGTGTTGACTGTGTCTCTAAAGGCAAAGAGGGACCTGACTCCAACCCGGTGCTCCAAGATAAGAATGCAACACACTGACATGAAGCAGGGAACCGATAGAGAGGCCTGAGGGGCCGGCCCCATTGCCAACTAAGTGGACAGCACCACACTCTCTCCTTAGAAGAATTCACTTCAGAGGACAGCACTGAAGCTACAGCTCAAGAAGGACTTGTTTGATCAGAACACACAGGAGCCAATGAAAGGGGAAGGGGGAAAAAAAAGTGAAGCACATCTTGGTTCACCAAGCCCTGAAGACAATGTTTCTGCTCAGAGCAGCAATACACAGAGATGACCACAAGCCTGGCCTCACCATGGGACACAGAGTTCCTCCTTGACCCATAGAACCATTTGGGACAACACTAGAGACACACAAAGGGAATTGTGCCCGCCCTGAGCCCACTATGCCGAAGACAGCCACTGGGGGCATGCAGCAGAGCAGGGAGGGGAGCAGAGCAATGAAGTCCCCAGGGATAGATATGGGGCCAGGGCATGGCACACCATCAGACTCGACTGGAAAGCACTTGTAAAGGACAACAAATAGACCCTGAATTATTTATATGTATTTTTTCTTTGTTGTTGTTGTTGTTGTAGCTATTGCTTTACTTTCTATTGTTGCTTCGTTGTACTCAGT